TTTCACATCCCTATCCCAAAGACCTTTATCCTTTTTCCCTAAAGCATGTGCTACACGGTATGAAACGGCGGTTTGAAACTTTGGTTTCAAACCGTGTGGATAGTTGTTTTATGCCAAATTTCGTTTAACCTTGATATGACCTTGGCAGCACGCTTTGCGTTGCAAACCGCGACCAAAACCGTTGGTTTGAAACAGTCTAGCCGCTTGTTTAAAACCACGCGTTCGGCAGTCGTGCTGCGGCGGCGAGCGTAGACGCACGAACGTGAAGTTATTACCGAATTGCTCGAATTATACAGAGAATTGCCATGTCTCTGGGATATGGATGTGAAAAAAAAATCGATTAAAATTGATTTTTTTACGCGATTTTTATATTTAAAATAATCGATTATTTTTATAATTGAAAATCAATCATAGTCGATTTTTTATCTGCCACCTACCGACATTATGTCTGGTATTTTATAACCCGGACCTTGAACTATTAGGGATATTCGATATACAACGATGTTTACAATGCGATACATTGAATCCGATTCTTTGAAGATGTATTGTTTTTTTGTAAAACATCGAAAGGATGATAAAACTATAACTTAAAAGTAAAATAAATTTATTCAGCAGCACAAGACTACATACAATTAAAAATACAACAAAAATACTGCAATGTGCTACTGAAGAAATCGATTATTTATTAATCGATTTTTCATGCTAAAAAAATAATCGATTAATAAAAAATCGATTTTTTTATGCAGAATGTCACATCCCTACGGAGACGTCTTATCAGCGCAACGTTATTTTGGACACTGTTGGTTTTAAACCGTGTAGCCGAAAAGCGCAACTCGCTTTTATTTCGTTTCAAACCGCCGTTTCATACCGTGTAGCACATGCTTAACGCGCCAAAAGAAGTCAAAAATATTTGTTTGTAATGTGGCGACACAATGTTCGGCAACAAATCACTGCAATCACGTCATACCCTGAAACTCTCCAACAAAGTTATTCCTACCGTTTAGGATATACAACCTCTCAACCTTAGCCATTAGGACCTTTGGGCCATCAGAGGGTAGACGGGTCAAGGAACCCCCCTTTAGGTCGTAGGAAGAGGATTACCTTTCGTAATCTACATAACGAATTAATTGAAAACTATTCAACTAATTTCAAAAACTTTCTCACCTTTATAATACTACATTATCCCTGAGTGGAATAGGCTATATTTATTTAAATAAGGCTTAAAATTAATATAATTAGTAAAAAACGACAAATGAAACGATTTTAATTGCATGCCCAGGTCAAAATTTACCATTTTCTCCTAATTCACAGAGGAGCTGGAACGACATAAGCTACAAATTGACTTCTTTTGAGGCTTTTCGCCGTGGCTACGCATGAGGTCGGCTACTGGCTTCACGCGTACCCTTCTTCAAATACAGGAACATTTCTTGAGCATGACAAGCTCCGAATCGCAACCTGTCTACGGCTTGGGTTTCCGGTTTGCACTCCTCATAAATGTCCCTTGGCAGTGATGTCGACAAGCTAGGACATCACGGACTGTCATGCCAAAAATTGCAGGCCGCTTCTCGAGACATGCCGCACTTAACGATATCATAGACCGGACGGTATGAGTTTGATTCCGTGGAAGATGGGCCGGGTGCATATGGGATACAACCTGTTCAGACACGTTGGCCCCTTCCCATCTACATGGAACTCTACATGCAACAACTCTACATGGGGTCTAGGCTATTTTGGGTCCTATTTAAGGAAATATCAAAAAGGTTAGTGAGCATCACAGGAGACCGAAGAGCTGGCAACCTCAGACAAAGAATAAGTCTAGCTATTTAAAAGGGGAACGCTGCCAGTATCTTCGGAACCTTGCGTAAAGTGACTCCTTTTAATAATATATTTGAGTTATTATATTTTAAGGTTAGTTTTTTTTTCTTCTGTTCATAATTAAGTTTAATATTTGTGATTGTAATTTTTCTCTCATTTACAATTTCAATAATATCGCAATCAGTATAGAATTTGGCACATATACTACGTCTTATAAAATATAAGAATAGATTTTAAATTACATAATCCATTAATATAATAAGGCGTTGTTAAATTAAGATAAATATGATGTTCGAAGCAAATGATAAGCTTTATAAATATAAATATAAATCTTTTCAGATAAAGAAAATGATGGAGCAAATTATTCTTCGTAGTCTTAGTGATTAATGACGCTGTAAAAATCGGCAATTGTAATCGTACTCAAAAAGCTGTAGGTTTGTTTACAATAGGATATTCAGATCCTTAACTGAAAGATAGATTTATTTAACTCAATTGTGGACACTGATTTACAATTTTAGCGGACAGTTTGGATGACAATCAAACGAAACACGCGTTTTCGTATTCTTCGTTTCGTTTTACGTAATTAATGTTGTTTTGAGTAATAAATTAAAAAACCTCACCTTCGAGTGAGTGGATATAAAATGGAAACGGAGACAAAATTTTCATTAAGTTCAGATAATGAAAATATTGAGGGATTTCAAAAATTGTATTTAGCTAGATAAGGCTGTCGATTTTATTAGGGATCTTGGTGTTTTGCATGATAATAAGCTAATATTTGATTTACATATAAATAGTATTGTACGGAAATAAAACCAAAATGCTTGGCTTTATTTTTAGAACATCATCTAGTTTTACCCTAGTCAAGACATTGAAAATTCTATATTGTTCGTATGTTAGAAGCAACAAGCCTCAGTGCTATTTACAATAATCGAATCGAAAATATTCAAAATAAATTTTTTAAACACTTGCAATTTAAGGCCAAAATTTCGCTGTCTGACTACAGAGCCCGGTGTAAACATTTTCACATGTTACCATTATCTATACGACGTGATATTGCGGACACTATATACCTTATGAAAATTGCTACTGGTGCGGTCGATTGTACCGAGCTAGTAAGCAAAATAAACTTTCGAACACATAATAAAACACTTAGAATCATGAACCTATTACATGTACCAAAAGTAAACACAAATTATAGAGGGAGCAACTTTATGGTTAGAGCGGCGAACAAATTTAATAACTTAAAGATTGACATTGATATGTTCGCGGAGAGTGTGGTGACAGCAAGGAAAGCTTTAACACAAAATTATTTCAACCATGATGAATGAAATGCATTGAGATTTAGATTCTGTTTTTTTCTTTTTTGTATTACAAACTAAAAATATTTGGCATGTTTACCTTCTTGTTGTAAAAAAAAAAATACTATATACGTAACTATATGTGAAGATTTGTAATTGACCCATAATGGTATATATATATATATATACATCTATTTTTGTATTGTGTTGTGAATCTTCTGAATAAATAAATAAATAAATAATTACTTACTTATAAATTTCATTCATTTGGGACGATTTAAATTGCACATAACACGTTAAAAATTTTAACTAATTTATCTGTAGGCTTTGTGCGTGTGTTTTTAACTAACGATAAAAACTAGTCTTTAATTAACCCTGAGTTAAATTACGTTATAAACGAAGATTTATATAATTAATTGTCATTTAAAATAGTAATAGATCCTCATAATAAAACTATATTTTAAACAGCAATTTGGCTCACAACATGCGGCAAAGGTCGCAAATTCAAAGATATTTAATTCATGAATATTTAACACTTGATACAACGATAAAGGAAAACACCGTGAGTAAACCAGGATTTCTTAAATAAAAATCGGGAATATACATTTTTTACATAATACGCGCAAACGGGCAGGAGGCACACCTTATGTTCAGTGATACCGCTGCCCATGGACAGTAAAAGCCAGAAGGCTCGCAAGTGCCGCCCTTTTTAGAACTGGTACGCTCTTTTCTTGTAGGACCCTAAGTCGAAATGGTTCGGAAATGCTTCAGTGGGTAGCTGGTTCCAGATAGTGGAGGTGTGCAAAAAGCTCAGTTCTAGGACGACGGATGACGAGGTGATACGGGTGGAAATTCGTATTCTGCCTCGACGTCTGATGTTGTAAGGTATTAATCAGAACAACTCTGAACTATGACACGAAGAAATAAAATGATATTAAAGAAACGTAATCAATCTGAAGCCTATAGGCTGATAAGCCAATAAAATACAAATAAAATAAAAATTCGGAAGTTACCCTTTTTTCAATTTGATATCAAAATTTCATATTGACGTGCAATGCATTTTCCTGATTTTCGACACATTACATCTAAATGCCACAAAACCTTTCCCCGTACTCCATTTTACAACGCACATACAATTCATTTAAAGTAAGACGATCTTAAATTTTCTGATGGACCGCGCATTAATTACAAAAATTACTGTAATACAAATGCGAAATTGACAAAAACAGAACTTCGTTAGGTTGACAATTTGTTCGAGGTGAAACGTGAACGCGATTTCAATTAGTTGAACGTTGAATGTGGCTGTTCTTCATTTACTGGCGTATTTATATACAAGGTAAAATAATTATGAAAGAGATTCCTATTTAATTGACGTTATTTTGCGTTCTTACAACACATTTCCAGGAATACAATTTGATATCGAAGCGAATAGAAAAAGAATTGTATTGGGTGAGGTAACACAGGAACAACTGGTTCGTATTGAACAAAATACGATCATGTCCGTTTATCGAGAACGGACTTAAATGTGGCTGTAATTATAATGTAATATTATGCTTACAACATATAATATAAAACATTAAAGTCTTCGAATTTTGCTATCGCAATAAGTGTGAATATTTCACGTATGTTGTAACAATATTACATTCTAATATGCAAGCGCTTGAATAAAAAATGTCAAAGATTTTTAATCAAGCTAAGGACGTACATCATATCACCACCATTTATTTCTAGCAGTTGGAAAGTAAGCATGTTAGTAAGTGTATCATTGTACTAAGGAGTATTTGAAGAAGAGAAATAAATGTATATAGAACATAGTCTTTATTTTTACATATATAACATTTTACAGAACAAAAAATACTTACCTCGGGATTCGAACTCTAATAATAAATGTGTACCCCAATAAGACTATGTAAGAATGTCAGAAATAAGTTAGGCACTATTGCCTCCGGTACCGATGCCGATTGAAATTCACTTAACCGAAACGGCTATTGTTTTCTTTTAATACCTTTCCACAATGCCAATCCACAATACATCGATATCGCTTCACAGCTTTTAAAGATAAAAGTAATGCCTTCCACTTTGGATTTGTATTACGTCTTTTGACATTTGACTGTAAAACTCCAATTTACTCACACGACTGAGTGAAAGTTACTAAAATGTCAAGCATATTTATTTTATTTTTATTTACGACAGTATTATTTCTAGGTGCTTATTCTAATTATATCATAACTTAATTATATATTCTGTTACTCATTATAAATATTATATTACAGGGCAAATACCCAAAACTAAAGGAGATTCATATTCAGCGGCATACGAAGATCCTGAGGATCACCACAATTATAGTAAAGGACAAGGGAAAACTATTCATTCATTGAAAGGCCATTACAAAGAAGAAGCACATAGGCTGATGAAATGTGGTAGCGTCGATAAAAAGGAAAAACACATTCACGTAACCGACAAAACTCCACAAACAGAAGTCAACGTGGCAACGACTCAAATCGAAAATTCAAGCACCAATGAAATCCTTACAACAACAGAAAACCTAAGGCAAGACCCAACAACAACTGCAAACGCAGTAGAAACTGAAGAATCAAAGACCGGGCAAAAATCAAGTAATGAAACAAAAGAAACAACGATAACACCTGAATATTTTGTAACACTTTTCTTACCAGCTTCTGAAAAACTAGGAGTAATAAATGATACCAGTCTAAATGACATTAGGACGCCAGAACTAAATATGGAATATTTGCCAGAAACTCTGTTACATTTACGACGTGCACTTGAAGAAGAGCCTATTAATAACATCAATAATGAAACAAGCAGCCATTCTGCTGCACAAGATAACCATGACACCATACTTGACAGCACACATAAGAATTTTGAATTTGAAACACTTATAATAAAAAATGAAGCTGAGAGAAAAATATCAAATAGACCTCACCAGTTCTTGGATCAAAACAAGGATGCCGATTCCAATGAAGAAAATGATGGTATAACAATGCCTTCAAACTTGAATGATGAACAATTTCCAATAAACTATAACAACCCTTTTGCGGATCAACCGCCGATGAGATACGCGGCACCGATAAATCCAAATGTATTAAATGTACAGGGTAATAATTCAAATAATTTAAGCCAATCTAATCCTATATCCAATAATCCAATTGAGGACTCATTAGCCGTAGATGGTAAAACTTTTAACTCGAGTGAAAACAAAGCTTCTAACAGAATAGCAGAAATTAATGAGTCTGATATAGACTTTCCATTCAACGACCCACATATTACCGTTGAAGATTTAAACAGACTAGCAAGTCATCCAACTAAAGGTTTTGGTGTTTCAGAAATATATAAATCGAATTTTATGTTGATTGAACATCCCCGGGTATGTTTTGCTTGTAGCAGCACTAATAATCCATCATGCTGGTTACCAGATATGAGCACACCAGCGAAATACTGTCGCGGAGACCAAGACGCTTGTGTGACGAAAACTTACCAACACAGAGGTAATGTATTTTTTATACGACGTAGGTAAAGTTTTTGTGTGATTTTTACATACTTTTAAAGTAATAACATCTATTATACTTACTTATGGAATACTATTTCCAAACAAAGCCCAAAATCATTTATTTATCTGTTTCTTATAGTAGTATTTGTAATAATAATTCTTATTTTTTATTTTTTTATTTACTATATACTTTTACACACAAATCTTCCAAGACATCTTTACTTACACTGTTGATTTTTATTCTTATTATGATTTCCACTATTATTTTTATTACATTATTAGTCTTTTTTTGCGTCTGAGACGCAAACTAACTTTGGGCCAGTTAAAACCACAACACGCACACATTACACACTTCAAATTAGTTAGTAATAAATGTGATACATATTATGTTACTATACATGTAAGTAGTTCCTAAGTAACTTCTTCCAGGCAGGTAAGGAAAAAAACGAAATACTATGCTCGACCTCGTGCCTCAATTAGAAGGGATAAAGTATGCTATCACATTGTTCCAGGTTACGCCTTCGTCGTCCGTGATTGCGCCGCCTCTTGTGTAAACAGGGATTTGTCAGAAATCGGCTTACTTTACAAGACATGCACAATTTGCCACTCCGATCTATGTAACGGCGCTAATTTCACTTCATTTTCTTTGAAAACAATTATCTTACTTCTAATTTCAATCTGGTTTAAGTACAAATAGTTTGAATGTAGTACAAGGGCTGCGAAATGTGCAATCTGTAATCAATTATACCCAAAAACATCCATGTAATATTAAAATCGAAAATTTTATTTTTTCCAATTATCATAAATAGGCACTTTCTTTTACGAACTAGCGAACTGTTGAATTGCCTCCCAGAAGGTCTTCGCTTGGAGATACGACCTCCAAATATTAAGAGTGCTTACTCCTTCCTCAAAGGCCGGCAACAATTGGCTGTGGTGCCTGCCGTTTATAAACTTAAATAAACAAAAATAATAATGAAAGATGAGTCTGTTTTAGATTCGTTTGCTGTATTTATTTGTTTTACTGTTAGGTTTATTTTTATATTTTGATAATATGTTCTATTGTCATCTATATGTCATCGTGTTCGTATGTTAACAGTAACTAACAAGTGAACTAGGTTCTTTTTTAAAATGGCACTGTGATGTTTTATTTCAAATTAAGCAATTTTTTTTTATTTTTCAATAAATACATTAAACTAAATTGAATATTTAAATTAAATCTAAAATAACATTTCCACCAATTATAATTGCGTTTCACAATCTGAAATATGACCTCACAAACGGATAATATTATTCTATGCGTGGAGGTTTAATTTAAAAACATACTACGGTATTAAACAAATATTTCACCTATTAATTGTGCACAAGAATTCTATTAACAATGTCTAATAAGAAATTTATATTCACTGAATTTAAATTTCTTATTAGACATTGTATACAATATTAGTTTCTATTCTTCTTCTTCAGACGTACTCTTCATTTCTGAGTGCCGTGTTAGTGGTGTCGCACAACTTCCTCTACTTTGCCAGTCACGATGAGCTTAGATTCTATATGGTATAAATAAACAATTTTGAATTTTGTATTTAAATAAAACTACTTAGCTATTGCAATATACCTTATTGTATTTTTTTACTAAAACGTTACTAGGTATATCACGACGTAAAATATCAGCTGCTAATAGCAACTAAATATATTATATATCAAGCTGCTTTTTTATGTAAGTATATTAAAGTATAAAATCAGGTATCAATTATAATAATTATTTCTTATAAAAAAAAATTTCGCCTTCAATCACATATATTTATATTTTACCAATAAAATCAGCAGTGGATTCGCCTGGACTGAATCAAGTCCCACATAGCACTCTAAGTGGTGCACGGGATGCGTGAAACCCTTTTCCACCTTATATATCTTTATATCTTATATTTATATTTATAAATTGAACATCAAAACATTTTAATCTCACCTCAATGCCTAAACTTAATGCAAGGCGTTTTAAATTTTCATCTAGAGTGATAATTGTGTATATTACATTATAATAAATTGCATCAGTAGTTAAAGTCTCCAGTCTAAATATTGTGTCTCTCTATTTAAAGAGATTGTTTACTTCTTATAGTGTACTAGTAGTCAGTCTCGGCTTCGCGCGGGTGGACATTTATTTTTTGAACATTTTTGTAGATATGTTCTTTAATATTGTGGATTTTTTTTGTTCGATGAAAGATATTTTATAGGTATTTTTGGGTAACATAATTGTAGTTTTAGTAGGATCCTTAAATTTTCTTGCAATTAAAATAGCCTATATTATTAGTGATAGTGTAGCATTCAAATGGTGAAAGAATTTTAAAAATCGGTCCAGTACTTATTGAGCCAATTCGCTACAATCTGCAGCATATGCAGTAAAGAAAATCCGACAGTACCTTCTGATAAGGACACGGCTAAAATTGTGTATCATAGCTACTTTCACAGCGTTATGTCGTACGGTATTCTACTGTGGGGTGCTGCTGCAGAGGTTCAATCCATATGTGTGCTGCAGAAGCGGGAGAGCAGAGTTTGAGTCCACAACCAACCAGGCTCCAAAAGATAATAAATCACTCCTAATATAGAAATTGTATTCGTTTTTACAACAAACTCCCAAGCGAAATTAGAGAATTATCACTAAATAAATTCAAAGCCCTCGTTAAACGAAAATTAATAAATAAAGCTTTTTGTAAATTTGACGAATACTTAAATGATCCTAATCCTTGGGATTGATTTGCTCCAGTTCAAACAATTTGTATGACTCAATACTTGGCGATTAAAAAGAATGGCGGAAAGTTTCTTGCAAGTTCTTCTTACCCCCTCTACGCCCTTGACTTGCGAACTGGTAGTAAATGTAGATTTACAATTAATTTAACTTCTTTTTGACGATTCATAAGTGTACTTGTTTACCTATATGAAAAAAAAAGAGTGCGTGTACTTATGAACGCGCGTAAGAAGTTATACTTCTTTGGCTTTCTTTATTTTTTAAAATATTAAATAATTAATAATAAATATTTAACGTTAATAATTTAATAATATTTAATATTCAGTATATTATTCAATTATTAATTAATATTAATAATAATTATCATTTATTATTTTATTATATTATTCATTCAATTTAATAACTAGGTATGTTTCATAATCTTTTAACTAAGTAATAATAGGTCTTTGTGAAAAAGCATTGCTAAATTTCTTTGAAAAAATAATTAAAACTCCTTTATTTGTTTTAAAGGTACTACAAAGGTCATTATGGTCAATGGTCATTCTGATAATTTTGTGTGTGCGCGCGCATCGTAAAATTTCACTGTCATAAATTTTTCATAACGCGCCTAAAGAAGTATAACTTCAAAAGATATTTTGAGTTTGAGTTGAATCATACTTACATACAAATCTTTCTTCTATATATTATTAGTATAGATAATGATTAATGACTATTCAAAATCTTATAACACAACTTACTTCATTTGAAGTATAATACATAATATAGGACAAAATGTTACCGACACTGACCTTTTTAGACGATCAAACAATCACTACAAATGTATTTTTTATTTAAACACCATCTATTGCGAGTAAAGAAAACAAGAAGCAGATTATAAATAAAGTTAGTATGGTATAAAGATACTAGATGTCGCTATTTTACAATAAATTGTAAGTTGCGCAATTCGATTGAAAAACCAAGACAGATGTAAAAGTGTAGTGTTAACTCTAATACTGTTTCCCAACGAGGGGCCCACGCCCCACAAGGGGGCAATTTGACTGTTAAAAGGGGGCTTTTTAAATAATTGTTGGTAATTACAGTTTTTCAAATTTAAAATAATTAAAAATTATGTGTTTCATTTCATAAGAATTTTAGGAAGGCTAAGGTGGTGCTTGGCATAAAATAGGTTGGGAAACACTGCTCTAGAGTCTAAACCGAATTTTGGAGAGGATAAGCACTCTGACCAAAATTCTTAATTTTTTCATTGCGTAATAAGACCCCAGAAGAACCGCCATACTGGTACAAATGACCCACTATTTTGTGTCACTATCTCCCGGCCTATATGGAGGAAAACCGTATAAAATGACGCTTTCGCCAATTTAACGCTTGGAAAACCGCGGGCACATACGGTATTTTGTAATCCATCAATATAAAGTCTTGGAATATCGTGCATATAATATATGCATACTCAATGAATTTTTTGCTATATAAATACCAAACAATACCTACACCATACAAACATACCATACATACTAAAAAAACATAATAGAACTTAAAATTGTTTATTAATCACAATTTAAATATAAACTAATAATTGGTAACAAGTAATGGAACTATTAGACAGAAATCCATAATGCGAGGACATATTTTCACAAATAAAATACTAATTATGACATCTATTAATAATTTAATAACATCAAAAACATTCACAACTGTTATACTACATTGTTGTCATACATTATAACTTGTACGCACACATGTCCCAATTACAATGACGGATTGAAACCTATTGTTAGATGAATGAATGTACAATAAATACATAAATAATGATACTGATTGGGCTAAGAAACAAGAAGTGTTATTCTTCCATTTCCATGATTTATCCTAATTTGGTTAGAGTTACTTTGTTGCATCCTTGAGATAAGCAATTAGATCTGCGCGCTCATTGGCTTTCTTTAAACCAGCGAAGACCATCTTAGTTCCAGGGATGTATTTCTTGGGGTTTTCCAAGTATTCAAAGAGAGTGTCGTCGCTCCAGGTAATGCCTGTGATAAAGAATTATATGTAATTTTAAATTTGATCTGACAGAATTGTATTATATAGAATTCTTAGAATGACTTCTGAGGATATTTAAAAGAGGCTAAAGTATGCTAACATATGAGTGTTAAAGATACTAGTTAAAATCAAATCCTTTGTTCTTATTCTTTAAAGAATAAAGACTATACAGTTTACTCACCCACTACCTACTAGTATTTTTTAGATTATTTTATTAAAAAGACATAATGCAAAAATATTTTTTATGCCCAGGCTAGCTAATTCTCTACAATTATAATAGGCATTCTTATCAATCTGACTTAGTTACGCAGTCAAGGTCTGATTTTATTCTTATCTAATCCTAGAATAGATTATAATTAGTATGTATCTATTCAAAATTTAAAATTTTACTTTATACAAAGATAATCTTATCTGCAATTTTAATCAATAAATTCTAATATGATCTTAATAGTAAAGATTTGTAATGAATACAGATAGTTGTGTGTATGAATGTATACCTTTAGCCTTGTTGGCATCTGAGTATGAGAATCCTGGAGCTTGGCCAGTTTTGCGTCCGTAGAATCCATGAAGGTTGGGTCCTACTTTGTGTTTACCACCAGCCTCAACCTGTTACAAAATAAGAATTCTAATAAGTTTATTATGGGCTAATCTTTTCTTTAACAAATAACACATATATGTCTATGGTACAATTGTGAATTTAATGCTTAAGAAATGAAGACTAGAAAAATGTTAAAGGTTGAAAAAACTAATGTAAGCTAATAATCATTAAACTATTTAAAATTGTAAAAAATGAGGCTTAATACTCACAGTGTGGCATTGGGCACATCTTTGGACAAAGATTTTCTTTCCATTTTCAGAGTTACCAGCTGGTACACCCATTATGTTTCTGAAATAAATAGTTAAAACATTTATAATACCAGGGACATATAGGCTTACACTCGCGGTTTTATATTTAATCATCACATTTTCCTAGAAATACATTACATAATACAAAGGTCAATGACGAAATGCTCAATGGTACATACAGATACCTTTGTTATCAGTTTAAATCAGAGATACCGTATTCTAAGTTGGACTTGGCTCTAGTTTGCATCCAAACTGGGTCAGGATCACATGGAGATCAATGTCAGATGAGTAGTCTAGGGCGGTATGACGTTATTACGTAAGGGTAATTTTTTTATATTCTATGGCACATTACGAATAATGTGCTTAAAACAATAGTTTAAACCATATTAACATATATTTCCCTCAATATTTAGCCAATAAAGAAGCATAAAATGTCATTACACAATATTTAAGGTTATTTCATCAATAGGTCTTCAATATATAAGACAAAATAATTTAAATGAAAGAGGAAACTACGTGGATAATTAATAAAATATACTCACTTTTTGTGTGCTTAGTGAAGTAAAATACTAAAAACAATTTTCCTGTTCAATTATGAAATGCCAACGCCAAAAATACGTGCTTTACCAACGCTAAAATTACACGACTGATCACGAAGATTGACGAAAAGTTCGATTACCGATACCGCTAGGCGCTACCGAGTGCTACCTATTACCTAAGTACCTAGTACCCAGTGTGACCGTTGTAAAAAATGGTGTGATCTACTAAAACTACAAGGTGCCAGTACTAAATAATACCAAAACACATTCTGAATTATACTAACATAAAAATAAAAAGTAAAAGAGGATTTTTTTATCAAAACACACACACACATCTTCATTATTCTGGCTAATGAAAGAAGATAACGAAAAAGCGCGGAAAATAAAAAAATAATAGTATGGTATCCCTTAAAGTTTGATATATTTTGTGGATTAAACTTACTTGATACTTAATTTTATTTTATAATTTTTTACATTGATAGTAACTGTATTTCTTTATAACTTAAAATGACTAGCATTGCATGGAAAACTAAAATTATATTTATTAAAAAAAAGGGTGCGTGTACTTATGTACGCGCGTAAGAAGTTATACTTCTTTGGCTTTCTTTATTTTTTTAAAATATTAAATAATTAATAACAAATATTTAACGTTAATAATTTAATAATATTTAATATATTATTCAATTATTAATTAATATTAATAATAATAATTATTATTATTTATTATTTTATTATATTATTCATTCAATTTAATAACTAGGTATGTTTCATAAACTGTTAACTAAGTAACAATAGGTCTTTGTGAATAAGCATTGCTAAATTTCTTTGAAAAAATAAATAACTCCTTTATTTGTTTTAAAGGTACTACAAAGGTAATTATGGTCAATGGTCATTCTGATAATTTTGTGTGTGCGCGCGCATCGTAAAATTTCACCCTCATCAATTTTTCATAACGCGCCTAAAGAAGTATAACTTCAAAAACACAACTTTATTCGGAATAATCAAAATCCGAATCCAAAAATCAATAAAACAAAGTTTAGGCTATCATACCTGTTAACTATTAGGAAAAAAATATATAATAGAAATAAAAATGAGTAATTGCATGAAGTATCAAGACAATAAATCATACTAATCTAAGAAATTTAATGACATTCTGTGCCGCCATCCGAAAGTTTTAAAACAATTCAATTATCTTCTTTCATTAGCCAGACTCTGTTAACAAAATACAAAAGAAACGCACTATTGACACACAGGGCTGTCAATAGGTCTGAATAATTTTCGATTGTCATATGTCAGAAAATAAAACAATAATCTCGAAGACGATGATGACAATCAAGCTCACGTTCAACTTCAACCTTCAGGCTTTAAAAATAAAAGTAGAATCTCGATTACGGCGGATGTAATATTCTATTGACTAACTTTTTATTTTCATTATTTTAATCGATTACGAATAAATGCAATAAATTATATAAGAAGATCGGAAGTGAAAAGTATAACAATTTGTAAATTAAGTGTTTCATTAAACCGTATGTAGCAAAATTTTGTGCAAGATTTGTCTTAAAATGATTTATATAGACAGTAATATTGAATGTGGACTGATAGGTTGTGTAAGGCATGAAAAGTAATAAAAATATTTTCTCGAAAGAAACTAATATTTGTTATTAATTAATTATCGGTTTAATTTTCGGTGAAATTGAACGAAAGTGTTTGAGAACTTACCACATGTAACGCAACACTAAATATATTGGTAAGTAACTAGGTAAAGGACTTGTTTAATTTACTGTTTTAATAATAATTTCTTTAGTTCAGTATTATTTTTGCCAGATAAAACCAAGATATATTTGTACTAAAAGAAACTCACAATCTAGTAAGTCATGGCTAAGGCTTATGTGGTGCTCAGCTTTCATGAAACATTGTTACACCAATCTGATGTTGATCTTTTGAATGGGCCTTACTGGCTAAATGATACCATAATATCATTCTATTTTGAATACTTGGAGAAGGTGCTATTTAGCGATGTGAATGACATTCTTTTTGTTTCACCTGAAGTTACTCAATGTATAAAAATGGTTACAACTGATGAAATCAAGATTTTTTTGGAACCTTTAAACATTGATTCAAAGAAGTTTGTGTTCTTTGCTTTGAATGATAATAGTTCACCTGATACTGCTGGGGGAATGCACTGGAGCTTATTAGTATACTCAAAAATTGAAAATTGTTTCTTCCACCTTGATTCATCGTCTGGTATAAATCATGATGTTGCTTGGGATTTTGCAAGTCATCTAATGACATACTTTTGTAGAGGAGGTAAGTTATTTAATCAATCAACAAATAGTAACCAATTTTTTTATTTAATAAAAAAAACCTGTTATCTTATGAAACTCTAAAATGTTATATAACATAAAACCACATATTTAATTTCATACATAGATTTAACTATTTTAAAGTATTAGATGTTTTTCAGATCTAATTAACTTTGTGGATAAAGAATGTGTACAACAAAGTAATGGCTATGACTGTGGTGTGCATGTTATTTGTAACACAGAACGCCTGGCCGAGTATGCTAGATCACATAGACAGATTTCATCTTGCGATATGACATTCAGCATTAACACAACTGCTAAGAGGAAAGATATTATCTCAATTATACAGAATCTTGCTAGTGGATGATAATTCATGTAAATAGTATGATTTTAATTTTAGTAAATATAATATTGTGTTGTTTGATATATATGTATCATTTGAAATTATCTCTAATGGAATAGATAAACATTTTTGTTAAGACAAAAGCATATGCTTAAATACCTAATTGAAAGACACTTTATTAGAAATATCTTTAATTCAGAATATAAAATAGTAAAATACAATTTAAATGGCCACATTATCTCAGTAAATACAAGTCATATATTTTGAAATATATCTTGCACAAATATTAACATTTTATGTGATATTACTCTTATACTAAAACTTATTAAGTCCATTTGAAAAAATGAAACCATGCCATAAAAATTGCAGTATGAAGATAAACATTGAAGCTTCAAATTTTTGTAACCAATTTAATTTCTGTAATCAGGTTGAATTCTGAGGTTCAATCCATCCTCCAAACGCTTTATCTAGTTCTTCAGCAAAAGCAAGGCATAGTCTATCGTTATTATGATTGGCAATCACCTGAATACCAATTGGTAAGCCTTCTCGACTTAAACCTAAGGGGATATTAGTTGCTGGAAAACCCAGGCAGTTAATAATAGCTGTATATGAGAAATTCATGGACCTTAATATTGGTTCATTGTGATACAAGGCCGGAGTAGGATGCGTTGGAAACAAAAACACTCCGTCATTTCCTAACATATCCTTTAACACTTTCTCCAATTCATCTCTTAGCTTTAGATATGATTTATACTTATCACTGTCAACTTTGACCCCTCCCAAATCAATAAGTGCTGTAAATAAGGCAATTAATGTGTTTTCAGAACATCCTATGATATTTTTAAAAATTTCCTTAATTATTGACAAATATCCACAATCTTTCATAAGGTAAGAGCCGAAATGTTTTGTAGTTTTCAGATTAGAGAACCAGATAGCCATTGATTTTCTCAGGAGTGATATTTTTTTCTCTTCTGCAACAATTTTGTGTTTCACATTTAGATATTCTACAACTTTAAGCATTGCCGTTTCAATATCTGGATCCACTGGATCAGTAAGTGGTGCGTTATTATTTATCTGATAGTAAACTTTGAGTTTTCCCACACTAACGGGCTCGTTTAATTTAAGTTTATTGGCGTTATCTGCTGCCATTATTTCCAGAATTGGTTTCAAATCTACTGCATGCCTTGTCATAGGGCCAACACCTGGAATATGAAAATTTATTATTTTATATATAATAAACTCGAATTATATATTGAATCAAGATAAAGCATAATATATAAATTATAAATCATTAATTTATCAATTATTATAAGTAAAAGAAATTTTAGTATACCTAAAAAGGAATTAATGAAATCTGAATCTGGTTTTGGATACTGGCCACTGTTAGATACGATGTTACGGGATGGCTTGTGACCAAATATGCCATTGAAAAACGATGGCATACGAATTGAACCGCCGATATCAGAACCTGCAAAACAAGGAAAATTACATTAACCTTCATTAATTTTATTCGTGAATCTTATTATGTAGATAGCATAGCAGTTCTTTAATTATGTATCCCCTAATGTCGGAATTCATTAACAGATCTTTAACCTATTATTTCTGTTGTAAAGTTTACTTAATTGTATCACCACTCGCTAAAATTTGACAAAAACATTATACTGTTGATCGAAAATGTTTTAAGACAACTAGTGTTACATTTCTAACAGCCCATCCAGAATGAAAATAGCCCAGTAAAAATCGCGCGCTTGTATACGTACATATAAATTTTCGAAATTTCCGGCAAATAAGTAACCAGAAACAATTGCGCAATAGTCGAACTTTTTTCTACAAAAGTATTTGCGAGAGCCAAATCTGACCAAACCACGTACCGATATACTACTGATCGCTTACCGATTCCAAAGATGCTACCAGCAGCTGCTTGCAATGCGCCCTCACCGCCAGATGAGCCACCTACAATCCGGGTAGTGTCATAGGGGTTGCTTGTTCTACCAAAAATATGGTTGTGGGTCTCCCACCTGTAATTATCGTATTTTATAAGAAAACAACCAATTTATTTGTATGACAAAAAAATTACAGAACTTCTATATATTTTTATTTGCTAATGATAAAAAAGTATACGCCAACATACTCCTAAAGATATCTCGATACCTCTTCAAGTTCTCGATGATTAATAATCTAATATAATTACTACTTTCGAAAAAGGCAGCCAGCCTTGCCGTCGAGAGCAATTGGACTATAAATGTTTTTTTTTTAACATAAGAAGTTTGTTTCAAAGGCGTTCGATCTGTTGTAAATCAATAATCGATTCTTTAAAATTTTCTTTTGCGGGGGGATGTTTCCGTTACACTAGCCTGTTAAGTTTTAAATGTTCTTGGGCTTTGGACATTACTTTTTGACAGGCTTCAGTTCACACTTTATCTCGTGACCATTTTCATACAAATTCGTTTGGCATTATCACGTCTGTCGAAAAGTTATTCTCTCAAGACCCTGATCTCTCCACACACGTAGACAACGAGAAAGAGGCATATTCATTTATACTGGTTTTATCTATATGCATTATCGCAGTATTGTTCTCACAAAACATACAGATTTATCCAGTTTAAAAAAAAATTATTATCCTATACAAAGCGTGTATTTTCATGCTATTGAAAGAATCATAAGGTGGTGTTTAAACCCCGCTGTGCAAGCCATTGCAATTTAACACGTATTAAACCAGCAGTAGTGAAGGAAAATGTCCTGACCCAAAAAGACGATATGTTTACTTATCTACATATAAATAATAATCCATAAAGACGAGAGAGAGAAGAAAGAACAAAGCAGTTTCATTCGATGGAATTCGAACAATTGATAACCATCTTATGTATAATTTTAACGCTGTATTTAATTTCCTTACCACATGCAAACCTCAGGTACGTTTGTAAGACCAATGATAATTGCACCTTTGCTACGTAATAATCTGATGACGTCAGCGTCTTCTTCGGCTATGTAATTCTGTCTCGATACTATGCCAGCAGTTTGGTGAAGACCTGAAAGAATAAAATATATAGAAACTACATTCAGTCCTCTTTCGATGTTGAACTCATTAAACCTAGATTTTAGGTTAACGAGATTTTTTTACAATTAGCAATTGTACATTATACTCTCAAGAATACAGTACGAAAATTTATGAAATATATTTCCTAAAACATAATGACATACGGAGTAATTAAGAATAACATTATTAAAAAATCTTGTAAAAATGAGTTAACAGAAACCGGCTACCTCATGGAAATGGCATTGAAAATTCGAATAAACACGTTTAATATACGTGCTCTTAAATTGACCTTTGATATATAAGTACTAAAAATAAAAATTGTCGACCGAATAGTCTCGAGTTAAGCAATTGCTTAAGCTTCGGCTATGTAATTGCAAGAAATTGCTTGTAACATTATTTTAAATAACAATGATGTTTGTTAATTTTGTTTTATCTATTGCCTCATCTTAAACTCTGAAGTACACATTGAAAGTTCCCAGTGTGGTTGCTCCAATTCTACGTAGCATGAAGTAATGAATTGCCAGATTATTAGCGACGATTGGATCCTTGCTACTACATTACTCTCCAAAGAAATTCAAATTGTTCCTGTTTATTACTGGCTAAAAATATTCTATTTTAACCAATACCAAAACTATAAGTAACTTTACTTCAGTTAAGTATAGATTTAGATTACCTTTTACCCCTATGCAGTCTTTTGTTGTAAAGGGGACGCCCAGGAATGGCTTCTCTTGGAGTAATTGATCCGGGGTTTTAGTTCCGTTGCGCACGAGTTCGTCGGCCTCCCTGGCTTCTTTTAAAGCTTTATCAAATCTATTTTCTACAAAGCAGTTGAGCTGTGAATTGACGTCATTTATTCGCTTGATACACGCTTCCAAAACTTGCATGCTTGTAATCTGAAAAATTTAATTAGTTATATTAAAATTCTGATACATATAACGATGTGTTTGCATAGAAATATGTATAGTGAAATCAATAAATATTATTCCTCCAAAAGCCTAATTCTCTCTTAGCTATTTATTTTTTTCTTATTCATCAAACGAAGTTAGTTTTGTAATATAATTTTAATGTACTGTATAATTTAAAAATACATTCGTTTGTGATTTTATAACAAGGAAAAAGTTATGTAAATTGTAATTACGTCATGTCTAGTTTTGATATCCGAAATTCTGGTTAAAACCTACACCTTAAAATAAATGTGCTTTAATGGATTAGGCGTCATGGTAATTTATGCGTTATATATATATAAGCCAGTGTTCCTACAAGCCTGTAAATGTACTAAGTTATTGTATTTCTAATGAAAGCGTGTACGTGTGTATAAAAAAATTGTGTTTGCAGTTGTTCATGAAAAGAAAAAAGGCTCTTTGTCTGGATCTTGTGATTGGATTTTGACACACGAAAGCTATAGTTCGCGCTAAGCCTCGAATCCTAAAATTAATACTAGCTGCACAGGAAATCGTAACAAATTGATTTTATTATTCCATAAGTATCATTGTTCGAATGGTTCGAATTTTGAACCAAAAATCTCATATACAAAAAACAATGAATGAAATCATTACTTTGTGGATAATTATCGCCAGAGAGAGATTAAAAAAGCAAGCCTGTTATAAAAATTATCAGATAACTATACACACTGCCATGATTTTTAATCATGTCAACTCATAAATGTTAGTAGTGTCATGATTTTGTGGTTTTGACCTGTTTTCGGGTGGGCATATTAAAATTTATTAGAAACCCAACCAATGATCGCTGCAGATGTTTATTATTATTGTTACATTATTATCACACATGCTTGGTAACTCGAATATCTCGCGATAAATTTTTATCTCATTATTATTAAACGTAGCATTATAAGCAAAACGTATAACGGTTATCTATTAAATTCTTGCAATTATGACTTTGGTAAATTTGTGGAATCACGGATCCACCTAACAGCTCCAAAATTTTTTCTACATATTTTCATTAGTCGGCAATGGTGTACCATGCCATAATGTGGTGGCGCATGCTCTTTAACCCCCATAGAAATGAATTAAAACATCATGATTTGTGAAATGAATAACCTAATCTAATATAATTCACTGGCAACTGAGTCAATATATTATCAGTTTTTTTTTAAATATTTGTTTAAGTGCAAAGCCATGCGCCTCCTTAAAATTACATGGGGTACTAAATAGAAGTCGTAAATAAGGATGGAAAAAAAATTTGGAGCTGAGGAGCCGTGACTTGATTAACCATGACTTTTTGTCACTTATACGATTCTATGATTGATCCTTGGAAATTTTGGAATATTTATTGTTCTAAAAGTACCCTTAGTTAGGTAAATTAAATAAAAATTATTTGTTTCGTCCAACCAATATTTAGTCTTGATGATACAAGTGTAAAAACAATTATGACTAAGATACAATTAAATTGTAGGTAATTTAAAAAGTCGGTAACGCAGGCTATGCCCTTTTTCTCTGGCTGACATCATTGTTTTTGCGTATCTGCTGCGTGCAGTTTGAATAAGATGAAAACAATTCTAAATTTACCTCTTTATGTCTGATTTTCCTCGCCACCTCGATAGCTGGCTCTTTCAAGATATCACTTGTTATAGGCGGTAATGTCTTACTATCATTGTAATAGTATAAACTAAAGAAGACTCTTGCTACTTTAGCAATAATCAATCTTAAAAAATGAATCACTTTTAACTTCAAAGGAGTCCGTTTATCTAACTCCATTGTTGGACTAGTAACTTTCCACTGTTTAAAATCACGGGTAAATATTTGACTGTTATTTTCGAGAGATCGCTGTAAAATAAAGTAATAAAAATTACGCGCGACCACACCACGTCGCGTTTAGCTTCTGACCTCGAATACGACAATTTACGGTGGATAGTTTCAACATGAGCGTGTTTTGTTAGTCATCTACGCTTCCAGAACGAAAAGTTACCGAAGATGCTGAAATAACAGTACATTTAAAGTTATACTGCTTTTGCAGTCAATAAGGTGATTTTATTGATATATGTATTTTTCATTTGTCACAATATATTTTATGGAATTCTGACGTATTCATAATAACATTTTTTAGATTTATATTATTCTATTTGATCAACGATGTGACATTAAAAGACCAAATTATACAATATACTTTGACAAGATTGTAAAAACAAATGAACAAACGTCAAGTTTTTAATGCGCTAACTGTCATTATTTACCACCAATATGCTATGTCATTGTCGATTCGACTAATCTATGACCGTTTTATGTCCCGTGACTGACGTTTAAAAATCAATATTTATAATGATTTTTGATAAATGAATGATTATTTACAAGTTTTTTACTCTATAACGCTTTTTATGTCATGTTTTATATAGATTACTCTCAATAATACTTTATTTTTCAAACTGTCAAATAGCCCATTATTTATTTCTGTTTATATTAGTTTTATTATCTACTCTTTAATGACTTATTTTCTTATCTTTGAAGCAAGTATGGATACTAATTATAATGTGCATTTCTTTTTATATGTGTTTCAGATGTTTCTATTATGTTAACTGCTTGAATAAATATAATGCGATACAAATAATAATAGAAACGGTGTTATGCCATATTGTCACAATCGCTATATTATACATATAGACTAAAAAATAACTTTTTAAACATTGATTCACGTACTTTTGTTAAGTTAAAAAAAAAAACAACCGTTATGCAATATCGATATTCAATTATTTTTCTTGCAAGCCGCACTTATCAAGTGGCAATTGATAGAGGTAATTGAAGTTACTTTTTTTATTTAAATTGTATTAGTTAAATATCAGACAACGCCCTAGTTGTTTCAAAGTGCCACTCTCCTCCCTGGTGAGGAAATCGGCATGCCTTAGACGCAAAAAGTCGTCGGTGTGTGACACAGAAGGTTGACCTACTTGCCTATTAGAAATAATCACGGAACGTTTAATAATAATAAGCCTTTATTCATCCTCATCTTATTGACATATATAAAATGTTTTGGTCCAACGCTAAAATTACAGTAAATCTACTGTATTCACTATCAGTGAGAAGCACTGGCCCTAACGTGTTTTGTTAGTCATCTGCAACCGTCTCTTTCGCACGCCGGGCGTTCATAACAACTGTTTCATTCAATACTTTTGTATAGCTATAAGATATGTCTGATTATCCTATTGAAAATGTTATTGCGAACTTGAATTATGACGACCGAATTCGGTAAGTCTTCAATTTTTTTGCAACTGTTTTAATTGCCTTACAAGAACTATAATATATTATAGTGGCGCCGAAAACCTTTATGGCATCGTTTCTTTTTTTAATTTTCTTGTTTATTTGTTTTTATTTCATAGACAAGGAGGTAGGTAATAAAAATAAGGTCTAATGCTTGTTTTCCTCCAAGTCTCTTGGAACGCCTACTCGATTTTTACTATCTATAATTATAACACGATTCATTTATTTCAATGTATCCCAGTTTTAATGTTTTTACGCTTTAATTGCTGTCATTATATTAGCAACAAGGTTTTATTTATCATAGAAAAAGCATAATTTTCAATTGACCTTAAAAGCTAATTTATATTATATCGAACCGATAAAGACCGTCGGGATGACGATTAATTCTCTTATCAGATAGAATGGATGTTTTTATCTATATGTATACAATAATAAAATTGCTTCATAAAAGTTCGAAGTCCAAGAATATTTTTTCATTAACTTTTTAGAAGAAAATTAAGCAGAACAATGGCTTTTTATGTCAATGCAAATTAAGCCAAGTCTCGTTTTGATGATGAATTAGTTAGATATCTTTCCTTTTTCTCAAAACAATATTTAATCTTATCTGGTACACTCAAGGGGATCCAGAATTGAAGAAAAGCATAGAACAGACACAGGGGGTCAAAGTTTAAGATTTTATGAAGACCGTAATTTGTTTCTATAATGTAGGTATTAGTGACTCACAGGTTTATACAGAATCTGTAAATGTAATAGCTATATTGTACCAATTGAATTAAGTTTTCCCCAGGAGGGGAAATTACCCCTATGGATCCGCCCGCCGCACTTATGTACATAAGTGCAATATTTTAAGTATATATTGATTTCTTTTTGTCAAATTAGATTCAAGCTGTGGTGTAGAATGACTGCGTTTGTTATATTATACCGGTATATTTAACACAGTTTTTATGTGTTTTTAATTGTTATTCTTGCACTATATTTTTTTAAGTGTTGCTCTCTAGCGATCGTTGCCCTCCTAATTATTTCATTCCTTAATCTTTTGTATCATTTGTACAACCTAAATAAAGATGCCTTAAATCCTAAAATAATTAATATCTTGCCTATTAGGAAAAAACAAGATCTCGTAACAGATACAGATATCTGAGGCCCAGAAGTTAAAATGTTTTAGCGCCATTGTCTTTTTTAAAATAAGGATTCAAACAACTTTTCTTATTAATATAATACAGCAATGATGCAAACACACGTTCAATTCAATTAATTATTATTTATAAAATAATACAAAAATTTATAAACTCACAAACATCTATGGCATTTTTCTCTGTGGTTCAATCCAACCACCGAATGCCTTCTCTAACTCTTCAGCAACAGCAAGACATAATCTATCGTTATAATGATTGGCTACAACTTGTATGCCAATTGGCAGTCCTTTCCGGTTCAAACCCAACGGCACAGTAGTAGAAGGAAAACCAAGACTATTTATAACAGACGTGTAAGTGAAATTAAACGCCCTAAATAAAGACTCGTTATGATACAAAGCTGCCGTTGGATGTGTAGGAAACAAGAATATTCCATCATCTCCGAGCAAATTCTTAAATAGACTCTCCAATCTTTCACCAAGTTCCTTAAATGTTCTGTATTCTTCGCCGTTTAGATCGATGTCTTTGAAAAGACCTAAGAGAAGCGGTACTATAGTGTTCTTCGAACATCCAAAAGTATTCTTAAAAATTTCCCCAAAAACTTTACACCTATTTGGATTTTCCAAAATTAGTGATACCGGCGAAGTGTCAGTCGCAATACTAGCAAACCAAATGTTTGTTGATTGCTTCAAGAGTTTTATATCCCTCTCTTGTGCATTTGTATTGAATTTCAATTTAAAATAGTCGACGACTTTCAACAATGCCGCTTCGATTTCAAAATCGACTGCGTCTGTGAGTGGTGCGTTGATATTGACCTGGTAGTAGACATTTAGCTTGCCAACCTCAACTGGAGTATCTAATTTCAAATCTTTAGGGTTTTTACATAAGATTTTCAGGATTGGTTTTAGGTCAACAGCGAATCTTGTTAGTGGACCCATTGCTGAAAGGTAAATTAGACATTTTGATAATTTTATTGATTTTGTTGATGAAAAATGATCCTTTATAGGACCTTCCTATTGGATTCTTTTCTGAATTCTTTTCCCAGTTGTAAGTTTTATTAATTCAGAAATATCAGCTTTAATATTCATATATATATCACTCATAATTTTGTATGATAACGTTGGTAAGGTTAAGTTACGTAATAACAATTTCTTTGGTCCATTCTTTAACTGGCTTAAAAAAAACAGAAAGATGAACTTTACGAATACATTGCCCCCAAATTAAAACTTTAATTTTCGATTTGGATTTCAGAAGTCAGTTAAAAATTAAAACCGCTAAGTATACATACCTAAACATGCGTCTTCTGCCTCGTGAGTCACGGGAGGGAAGTTTCCTTGGTTAGAGACTGTCTTCCTAGTAGCCTTATGTCCAAAAACGCCATTAAAATATCCTGGCATACGGATTGAACCTCCTATATCAGAGCCTGGAATTATCGTATTCAACTTTTAAAATAATTGTTGTCAAAATCAACGACCATTTAGAAATTAAACATTGTAAAAGTACATTCTAGTTGCTCTCGTCTGCACTACTGTCAAGAGGCCCTTAAAGCAATGTCTATGATACGTCAAGGGACCTGCCGTAAGCAAATATGTAAAATGGAATTTTAATTTGTGACCGTATTTGAAGATACGGAAAAATAATTTACCAAAACAATTAAAAGATCTTCCGACTAGAGTTTTTAAAAAACGACTTGGTGTATTACTTATCGAAAAAATGTATTATTCATAAATGATTATTTGCGTGAGACACTGTAGTTGATATAAATTTAATAACGTATGATATCATATGTACGATACTAATAATATAAGAATTCACTAATTCATATGACTGCTAATGTAAATTTAAAATTCCTTTAAAGACAAATATGCGCGCCATTGTGTGTGGCAAAATATGCGAAGTTACGATTGCACCTTACACATTTTTGTACCATATTCTTGTAATAAATTATTATTAAAAAAACGCATCGCTTCAACAGTATTCGTGTAACAATCTAGAATATCAAGCTGTCAGTGTCGAACATAGCTAATCTTTTCGAGTCTGGTCATTAAAGTGTTTGCCATGGCTCCGACCAACAGCTTTACGTGATTATGCGAGCCTCGGGGTTCTCATGCAACTTCATACTATATAATCATTCACGAAAAAATCGCTAAGCATTTCTTTGTCTATCAAAAACATTAATAATTTACTCAATAATGTTTAGTATCTCGAACCAAAACTCGAACATACCAATGCCAAAAATACTCCCACCGGCGGCCTGCAAAGCCCCTTCACCGCCTGACGAGCCTCCCACCATCCTTGCAGTATCGTATGGGTTGTTAGTTCTACCATATATCGTATTATACGTCTCCCACCTGGAATGTGAATGTAAAAATGTATTTAATATTAATAGAGGATTTATATATATTCGTGCGCTCCGAAATCAAAGTTCGTCTTTCGATAATGCGAAATTCAGTCTATCCAAGTCATCGTTGCCAGACGTCCCGATTTTGGCGGGACGTCCCGATTTTTAAATCAAAATGAAATGTCCCGCGCGGGACAGGCTTAGTCCCGCTTTTCGGGAATAACTCGATGACAATAAGAAGTGTGTACTACCACCACCGCACAATAATGGTACCAACTCTTTCAACAGTATCTAAAAAAAATACCAGGATTATCTTCAAACTTTATATTAAGTATCCTACCATCAAAGTGCTTTCCAAAACGCCTTCTTTTTTAAATGCTTCGTAAACTTAATGAAATCAGAGTTACTCATCAAGTTTAATCAGGATAGCTATCCTGTGAAGAGTTCTTCGTCTTTTTAAAGATAAAAATGAAACTTTTAAAGAAGTTATATCTTCATAGAAATATTATGAATAAGTAATTCTTATAAAAATGTACTGTCTTATTGTAAGTTGCAATTTGAAACACTCGCTCTTCAGAGTATTGTTTGAAACGCTATATTTTCCTAATAAATAAATCTTTTTTTATTTTTTATTTTTTGTTTTTTAATCAGAAGATGAATAAGAACTATTTAACGATAGGTCTAATCTGATTTAAATAAATTTTCTGTGACTATTTTCGTTGTCTATTGTCACGCAAACGTGATTTGAACTCAATTAAAAATATAAATATTTAAAAACTTCTGATTATTTAAAAATTTTTACCATGTCCCTCTTTCGACAAATTAATCCCGCTTTTTTCACTTTAAAAGTGCCAAAATCCCGAATTGACTAAAAATAAATCTGGCTACGCTTTCCAAGTATACTATTCAAAAGAGAGTTGAAAAAAAAATCCTTCATTCGGAATTTTGGCACTAAAAATATTGGCAAAGGGTGGATTTTTTTAGACCTTTCAAAAATGTGGAATTTCTCGAAAACCGATTGATTTAAAACATAATATATATTTTCTGAACCACCACGATGTTCTCTACCCACAGGTACCACCTAATCTATCCATTTCGCCACACCCTGTATAATATACAGCCCGTATACTTATTAGAGTATTAAAGACAGTAGAGCGTGCTGTCTACGTGAGCCGTGGCTTGATTAGAAAATTATTCTCATGTATTTAAAAAAAATTAAAATTTTACAGACAAATATACCTACTATGAATGAAACATTTGCGTTTAGCGACATAAACATTAACGCATATTCACTGATACGACCACTAGAGTTCATCTGATTGAGTCATTTTATAAAAACGAAATAGCGCGCACACACTCGTACCTATTGACCAGACGTTCATTGTAATATCATTAAACGTTCATAGGTGTATCCAGTTATATCTGGATTACAGCGGTTTTCATTATGGACCATCAATTGATCAATAGGACTACTAACTGTGTCTGTGTATAAGGAGAAAAAGTTCACCTATACCTCAAATAGTTAAAGAATGTTTTATCATGTTTTAATATGTAATACGACATTGATTAAGAAAAAATATTTCAGCTTTACTGTACCTGCTTTGGGATGTGCTATGTTTTATTAATTTCTAAATGACTTTTATTAGTATAATAACGGTTTCGTCATTGACATAGTTTGTATTTAAATACCAAAGAGATAATAATTGTAAGATAATTTCATGATTCAATTAACATTGTTTAAAAAGCTAAACACGATTTTTTTATTATTACCCTTTCAATATACCCATAGACTATTTGAAAGTATGAAATAAGTGTTATTGAGAGTAATCCTTTTAAAATATAGATTTTAAAAGCGTTACGAAGTAAAATAACTTAATTATTAACATATCAAGAATATTTTTTTAATAAATTTTTATTTTTATACGACAATCACGTGACACAAAACGCTTGTAAAATTTATATCTTCATCTGTCTAATCGTAATTTTGAGACTGCACTGTAGATCGAAATATAATATTATATTTGTATTCCTGTACTTTAAAAATGATAATTAACACGCAAAAGAACTTAGTAAACGTTTTGGCCGGTTCTTACAATTATGGATGTTTAATTTTATTCTTAACGCTAAATACTAACAAATGCACTAAAAAATTATCTTAAATGGTATTAAAAATCCTGCCTTTTGTGAGAGACTTACTTCGTAGTAAGAAATTTTATTTAAATGTTACCTCCTCGGGTAATCCAAAGACATTTTGACTGAAAACTTGAATCTTTCGACTGTCTTATATATTCTTTCTTTAACTGACTTTAAAATGTGTGCCCTTTTTATCGAAATCTTCTTTTTTTGTTACTTAAACATCTTGAAAATCGATTATAGCACTAATCTTGTGGACACAAATTGGCAACGAAATGGAAAAACGACACAAACCGCCATTTTTAGATTGTAATTTTTACTATGCTTGAATGCTTTGCTAAAATGCTTTATTGATGTAGATAAAAACCTACTTAAGAATATGTTTATTATCTAAACATTTTCTTACTATAAGAACTAATATAATTCTTTTACGTCATATCATTTATTCGTCAAAATGATTTAATTTTATCAAGTAATCTTATTAAGTATCAAAATGATTGCTCTCTGATATTGCGGAACAGTGTAGTCATCAGTAAAAAAGGTAATTTCCTCACTTCCCAAGCAGTCCGTCCCCAGAGGGGTGTGGTACTAAGGAAAATACATAAATGACCAAATCATACCACAAACATAATTCCGGTACATTAGTGAGGCCGATGATAACCGCGCCCTTTTCACGTAGTAATCTGATTACCTCCGCATCTTCAGTGGCTATGTTATTTCTTTTAGAATATATTCCACATGTTGCGGGTAGTCCTGGAAATAAAACGTTAGGACTCTAAGTACGGAAAAATGTTATAGACTCACAAAATATTGAAACAAAACTTATACTAGTGTGTAATGTTTACTTTAATGTTTTTCACGTTTTATATACTCTAATACCTTTAACACATATGCTGTCTTTTGTTGTGAATGGGACTCCGAGGAACGGCTTCTCCGCATGTAACTGATCAGTAGATTTAATCCCACTCTGTATGAGGGCATCGATGTCTGATGCCTCTTGAAGGGCTAACTCGAAACGGTCACAGACAAAGCAGTTGAGGGTTAGATTCACCTCTTTGATTCTTTTAATACACGTGCGAACCACTTCCGCACTTGTAATCTAAAATACCAATCAATATTATATGTAGTATAAATATTAATGAGCAATGTTAGTGGCTTCAGCGTATTCGTGAGGTCGTAAGTTCGATCCCCGGCTGTGCAGCTGGACTTTCTATCTATGTTCGCATTTAACATTCGCTCGAACGGTGAAGGAAAACATCGTGAGGAAACCGGCATACCTTAGACCCAAAAAGACGACGGCATGTGTCAGGCACAGGAGGCTGATCACCTACTTGACTATTAGATTGACAAGAGCATACCAACTCTTAAAAGCCCGGCAACGCACTAGCGAGCCATTTGGCATTTATTGAATTAAAATCGGTCTTGAATGAAGTTATGGTTCACCATAGGTATACACACATTTATGTATATTGTATAGCAGTTTCATTGGTCATTTATTAAATGTCTACCAATTAAAAATAATTGTTTTGCCGGAATAGAATTTAGATCCACGGAATTCACTGTTATTTAATATAAGCGACATCTTAATTGAAGTGTATTTACTTTTGATAAATAAAACTTTAAAAAAATATAGATTATATACAATTAAATGACATTAGTAATTGTTTCTAATCTGTGAAAGGCGGGAAATGTTTAAAAATGGAACTTTATTTGAAATGTTAAAACGTAATTTGTCAATCTATATTATTCATTGTGCATTCGTTTGTTGTAAAACGGAAAATTTAACAGCAAAATCCTAAATCCCAGAAACGTATAGATTATGTACGCTACGATGGACCATTTGATTGCTATCAGCGATTCCCCAACTTACCTCCCTATAACGAATTTTCCTTGCAACTTCAATCGCTGGTAACTTCAAAATATCCTCACTTATAACAGGAATCCTTTTTCTACGGCAAACGGCGAACAAACTGGCGAAGAGCGTAAACGTACCAAGTAAACATTTTCTTATGACATTTAATAATTTCGCTGAAAATGGAGTTGGTATGTCAACATCCATTGTAATTTAAATTAAATCACACTAAACACGTCCACGACTGCTTATCTGATACTGGATATCGAACAGATAATAGTATCATTTTTGTGAATTCTTAGTTGTATAGTGTTGTGTTAAATAATACAGATAATAGAAAATATATTTAAAACAGATTATATAACGTTTATCCGTCAGGACATCACTAAATCGTTTAAGTCATTACCTTAATTGATAGTGATTTAATTTAAAAACCTCAAAGGTCGTATAATTTGTTATTTATTTATATTTAAACTTATAGCTACACATATCCATATTATAAAAGCAAACAATTAGACAATATTCAAAGCCAAAACAGATTACATTGATAAATAAACCATATTCCGCGATAGCTGAAACAAGTCAAGGCAAAACTTTTTTTGCATAGTTAGTGTTGATGTGAGGAACATGAAACAAAGCACAGTATTCCTGACATGCAATTCTTTAATACGAGTTAGTAACAGTAGTTAAGAACTATGTTAATTAGCAATTTTTACTATTTCATCACCTAAAGTCGGGCAGAATCCGAAATTCCACCCGCCTACGCCCCGGTGAAAGCCTGACTTTTTAGCCTAATTTGATTATAGACTATTAAAATCTAGTATTCCAAATAAACTTTCATACTATTCACATACTTAAATATGTTTCTTTGATTACAGGTAAACATGTCAGACACTTCAAAGGACGACGAGGACAATTTAAAGGAGAATGCGAAAATATCACTTCCTACAGTTCTTTGTACCGATTCAGAAACTGAAGTAACTCAAACGAATATAATATCGGAATCCAAACTGTCCTTACCTTCGGCCCTAGGGACACCCACTTCTCCCCTTTTAGTTAACAGCCCATTGTCTTTGCCAAACTCACCGACTCCGTTTACGAAGATCCATCAGACACGATCCAATAAATCCTTTCAGAGCCCTGAGCTGACACTGAAGCAGGTTGACATGAACAAAACAGATACAGCATCGGCTACTGGTATGTGTTTAACTAGTACTAAGTTTGATGTCTTGGTGAAAAAAAAAGGATGCGTGTACTTATGTACGCGCGTAAGAAGTTATACTTCTTTGGCATTATTAAAAATAGTTTTTGATTGCATGCAAATAATTAATTACAATTACATAATCAAAGACATGGAAAAGGAGTCATTATAGTCAATAAAGTTCAGTTTACATTTGAAAAATTAAATAAATAAATATTTATTATTATTCTCTTACATTAAGTGTAACATAAATTCTATTATTATTCGAATGTTGTTTTTAAATTATGTCCAATGCCGTAGCATCTTCCGTGGGCAACTTCATTCTGTTAATTTTGTGTCACGGTGCGCGCGCATCGTAAAATTTCACTCTCATCAATTTTTCATAACGCGCCTAAAGAAGTAAAACTTCAAAAATTTTATGGCTTATTTGATTTTTTAGGAATAGGTATTTTTAATTCAAATACGATATTTATAAGGCAAGCATATTTCTTTATTTCACTAAGGCTATTGCCCCGGAATTGAACCCAGGTCCTTCGTGTTATGAGTTGATTACATATAATATAGGTTTAAAAAGAAACATTATTTCAGATAGTTAAATATTTAATCCCTTATAAAGTTTAAGCACAAAATTACAACCAATATAAGAAATTATTCAATATAATGAAAACAAAATCAGTGGCGCTACAACCTCTTTAGGTCTTGGCCTCAGATTTCTGAATCTGTTTTATGATCATTTTTAAATCTAAAAGGCAAGTAGCCTCCAGTGCCTGACACACGCCGTCCACTTTTTGGGTCTAAGACATGTCGGTTTCCTCTCGATGTTTTCCTTCACCGTTTGAGTAAATGTTAAATGCGCAGATAGAAAGCAAGTCCATTGGTGCACAGCCGGGGATCGAAGCCACTAGGCCAACACTGCAATATTCAATATAATCAAGTCTTATGAATTTACAATATGTTTGACCTACATAGTAACACACACACACCAGTGGCGCTACAACCTTCTAGGTCTCAGATTTCTGTATCCGTTTCATGATCATTAATTTTCCTTAATAAGACCTAATTGGTGATGAGCCCTGTGCCTTACACACGCCGTTGACTTTTTTGGGTGTAAATTATGCCTCATGAGGAAACCTCACGATGATTTCCTTCACCATTCGAGCGAATGTTGAATGCGCACATAGATCTAAGGACCATTGGTGCACGGCCGGGGATCGAACCTACGACCTCGGTGGTGAGAATAGCACGCTGAAACCACTAGCCCACGACCTCTCACATAGTAATAATAATAATATTATTATTATTATTGGACAATTCACACCAATTGACCTAGTCCCATGCTAAGCTGGTGAAGCTTGTGTTATGGGTACTAGGCAACGGATATACATACATATTATAGATAGATAGACATATAAATACATAATATTTAAACACCCAAAACCTAAGCACAACACACATGCTCATCACATTGATGTTTGTCTCAGCCGGGGATCGAACCCGGGACCCATGGATTTGCAGTCAGGGGTACTAACCACTAGACCAATGAGCCGTCAAATAATGAAATGGAAGACTAAAACAAATTAAATGTACGAGCCAAGGTTGCACATTTTGCTCACTCAGGCTTTCTTAGTTTTAAAAGCGTGGCAAATTCCTAAATCCGGAGTTACGCCCCGAGAGTATGGCCAGACGTAGACACTCTCTTCAACTGTCACATTGCATTCATTCGTTACATAGCAATTAACATTTCATCACTTCGCTTATATTCTGTTGTTGTACGCGAGCAAAAATAAAATCCTCTATTATTTAAAGCACCCCGATGACCCAGGGGCTGTGACATGAAATATATTTCCAATATAACAAAAAGTTTTATATAGTAATCATTTAGTTAGTGGTTCTTGACAGATCATGGTTATGAACATATTGAAACCGCATTTAGCTTTGATAACTGTTCTCAACCTACAGGCAGCTATCGTACCAGGGGGTTAAGTCAAGATGTCAAAAGTAGAAAACTAAATTTGTATGAAAAATTGTTGACACGGACTCATTTTCATACAAATTAAGTTTTTGACTTTCTACATACACTACTGTTAAGTCATCTTGTCATCTTAACATTAAAAAAACGTATTTGTACACATAGATCGCTTATAAGCAACAAATCTATTTGCTGTTGTGTTTATTAATTCTTGTATACCTCTTAATATATTGCTATAAAATTTGTTTTAATTTTCGTAATTTTAATAAAAATCATTTGATTAAATTTTACTAGAGAAGGGAGTCGAAAGATGTATTTCCAATATTTAAAGGCTTTTATTCGTTATTTAAATTACTTTTAGCGCCGTAGAAGTTATAATAGCAGATTTAAATACGGTAGTCCGATAAATAAATTGGACAAGTTCAGTTTTCCTCATAAATAACGAAGTGGCTGGAAATGGAAAATGCTACAGTTATAGCAAATATCCCGCAGTCGAGCGCAGACAGCGGTCGCTGGCAGTCGCTTCACGATGGCGGTTTATACACTTTTTAAAATACGTAAATAAAATATATTAAACTCAAACTGAATAGTGCGAATCCGTAGTTATGTAACTTGTAATCGGAAAATTTGGATATTCGAAATTTAACTTCACTTTCCACGTTCGAAATTTAAAAATTTGAATACAGTATGGAATGTACTCACAGGATTGAGTAATGGTTTATTGTGTACAATGCCTTGCTGTGGTTGTTGGTGGAACGGCAGACAAAGGCATCGACCTCCTGACTCTGCTGCAGGTAAAATCAAATTAATTTTCCCGAAATGCTTACAAACATTTTTATTTACGTTCAGTGAATTGAGACTGAACATTTTCAGTCAGATACTATTTACTTATTTTAATGTTATAAGTTTTGAGCTAACAAAGCTCTCTATTGACATTTCTAGATGTAAAATTCAAACTCCTAAATGTTAGCGCTGAACTAACATTTGTCAGCAATTAATTATCGCTAAATGTAGTATATAAAGGAATTTTGCTTACGAGAACTGACTGCGTAACTTTTAAGTTATCAAGCACTTACTGGACTAATTGCTTATTTTATAACTCTTGGCTTTTTTAAATTATTATACATATTAATATCTATACTTTTTATAGTAGGAACCTCTTTTATAACACCTCCTTGTTTGTATACAAACATTTTCTTAATTCAAATATTTACGGTAGGTAAATTCGAAATTCAAAAAATACAAGAACAACGTAGACTGCCTGCACAATACAATATTTTGTGTCTTGTAGAATGTATTGATTCATAAGGAGCATAAATGATGATACCTATACTCTGACGTCATATCCTACCTTTAAGGAAGGTACTTGGCAATGTCAGACATTTATTATTCATTATTTTACCATTGAGTGTAGCTCAGTAAAGGTGTGATGTTTTGCTGTATTACTCGTGAAAAAAGTGACGTGTCTGGTCGATCAGGTATTGTTCCATATTTAAATTTTTTATAGAAAACAAAAGACTGTGCCAAACATTGATTTTAGAAACCGAAACAAAAGTAAATCTCAACCAGTAAAATCGAGTTTATGTTAAAATTCTAGTTTATATTCAGGACTCGGAACGTAACAAAGTTTAGGAAGCCGAAGTAAACAACTCCTCTAGTGCTGGGTTTAAATAATATAGTGTATAGGATTTCCAATTTCCTAGACCTACATATGGAAGCTAAATTGAGTCACGTACGGCGCCCTCACTTGTTCTAATTGTTAAAGGCATACACTATGCATAAAACCATTTCATTAATGATTAAATAGTAAGCAAAGCGTCAATACAGTCTTCAATATTACTACTGTTAAGTATCGTTAATTAGTTATTCCATAGATTTTGAAAGTTTATTATACGGTTTTCATTAATAGACAAAGTAAGTCAAGGTAGGTATAATAATCTAAGCATAATAATTAAGTTTCATTATTACTTGTAATTATTGAAATAAATATTTTTGTTGATTTCGTTTTGCATTTTGCAGTTGCTTTCCTTACTAGAGTTGCCTGGAAGAGATCGCTTCTTCTCGATAAGGCCGCCTATTTCATCACTAATAAAAAAAAATACTTTAATGTCACAAAGTTTAAATAAATAAAAATAATTTTGAACACAATCACTTTCCGCCATCTTTACGCTTAGGTGTTTTAAACTGCGCTTCTTGTTTATTATTGAAAGAAAATATTGAATTTAATCATATACATACTTGCAATTATGAAACCGTTCCCGCCAATTTTGTTTCTTTTTCATGATTGATGACGTCACATAATTTGTAATAATCTATGGTTCGGTTAAATTTATCATATTTCAAAAAAGGAACTTAATTTTTGTAATTTAAATACAATATACCTGCTAAATATAACGAGGGTCATTGATCTTAATGATAATAATATTATAATATGTTAATGTAATGTTGTCTTACACTGTTAACAGATAATAAAAAACAATTGTAACATAAATTTCAATTTGTATCGAAACACATCTTGCATGAACAATATTTATTTTATCTGTATTTTTAGATCCAAAGACTGCAGAGCGACACACTGTTGTTAATTCGCCCCAGGCTATAGTATTTCGACATTATTGGCTTTATACCTGGGCTAAAAATTATTCATAAAATAGGTGTAGCGGGCGTTTGTTGGGTTACGCCCTGAAAAAAGTTTTCGATTAAATCAATTATACTGTCAGGTCGTTAATGGAAAATAACTTTGGAGGGATTACTCCTGCCCTCCGAACCAAACTTAATTACACGTTATATTGGTGACACTATACCGGACACTTTAATTATCTCCAATATAGGTGGTTAAGTTATTGTTATAGGGTTTTTACAATAAACATAATAAAATATTATATAAATATTTGTATGAGAAAATTTGCACAAGAAAAACTTCAATAAAAGGTTAAAAGTTTATTGATTATAGCTGTTAATTATGTTAAATTCTGAGTTCTAAGTTTGTATCAACAAATTTCATTGGCGGCTCTGATACACAGAAATAAGAGACAATAAACAATTATACGTTCTAATTTTTATACGTTCTAATTTCAAAAATCTAATTTGACGCTAAATGCTTCAGTTCTTCAAAATAACAGACTTCAGTCATATTTTTATCTATACTCGAAAGAGACATTCTATTTTTGAAAATTAAGTAAACTCACTGCAAGGTTTTAGGTCCTAATCTGTGGTGATATTACGCAATTCTTGTACAAATATTATTCAAAATTACCAAGAGACTGCTTAGCAAATGTTTGCGGAATCTAATTTTGGGTGAGCTTTATTATATATTTGCTTTTAAAAGTCGTGATGTGTACTTTATGATGTATGGGGCAACCCTAAGAGCATTAAGGCTTGGATGGTTATAAATTGCGGATAGGGTAACATATTTAACGGAAACCGTACATAAGCCGTACGATGCATAAATCCTGAATAAGCTATTAATGGACCTTTTTTACCTTAGTTTAATTTATTGTTTTTATTAACATGATTGTCTTACTCCACATTACGCGGCTTTACGTTCCGCGTGTCAGCTAATTGTCAATTGTCAAATTTTGAAATAATTTAAGCGCTATTATATTTTCTTTTGATAGGTTTTGTAAAAGATGAATAAAACCATACATAAGAATAGACTGAACAATTATTCGCAAGAAACAATTCTATTCTTAATCTGGCAAACATTATGCGTTGCAAATAAACACTTTTTAATATGATAATTAGTATCATAAAATAGGTAATTTATTACTACTAACGATCCGTTACGGGTACGAGTTCTTTAAGGGTTTTATTTGATAAATATAATTATTTTGAGACTTATTATTTGAACTAAAAATTAAAAATAATAGATATCGACTTAGGGTCTTTCAAGAAAAGAGCGTACCCATTCTTAAATAGCCGCCAAAGCACTTGCGAGCCCTTTGCCGTTGAAGGTGTCTTAGGGCTTGCCACTAACATCAGGGAAGCCTCTTGCCTGTCTGTTCTATATAAAAAATATTTAAAAAAATAAATAATAATAACCTATGTTTGCTGAAATTAATATGTATTAGTTTGTTTGTAATGAATAAACTAAAGAAGTACTGGATGATTGAAAAAATGCGTTCGCAAATATCCCCGGAAACAAGCTATATTTATTTCCAAGATATAAACAATACAGCCTAAAACTACTCGTGGTTTGGCCATTTCAGTTATTCCAAATTTGGAATTGTAAAGAATTTCGAATTTTTACGTCGGATAACGCCGATTTTATGATCTCTATAGAGCAGTGCATGCATAAATTCACTTTGATTTCATTACATAATATATGCACATATGAAATAGGATCAAGGTATATTATTATACATATATGAGCGCGTTGGAGGGCTTTCTACACCTGACCGACTTCATAGTTATATCAGACTTTCCGCCTGACTTTACCAACTTTTTTATTTAAGTACATCTAGTATACAGCCAGTTTAAAAATATATTTCTCTTGATTAATACGCATGGGGAACAGAATTCATTTGATTTGTAAAATAAAACACTAATGTTTCAAGCTATTACGTCACTTAAGTTCCGATGTACCTCAAGTGGAGCAGAGCAATAGAAAACTAGCTTGATCGGTTTAGGGCAGCTCTTTTAACTCCACTTTTTATATAATAGGAGGCAAACGGGCAGGAGGCTCACGTGATATTAAGTGATACCATCGCCCATAGACATTGCCAGAAGGCTCAAATGCATTGCCAACCGTTTAAGAATAGGTATGCTCTTTCTTGAAGGGCCCTAAGTCTAATTGGTTCCAAATAGTGGTGGCTCCATTCATCTTTCTTCGCCTTTGCAATGATGCTTCGGCAGGTCTGTTTTGGGCAGCCTTTTTCTTTTGTTTTGAGGATTCCAACTTGCTTCACAATGTGACTTTGATCCTTCCGGTTTCGGTTTTTAAATGTATGCATTAAACCCCGCGAAATTGGTTATTCATAATTTGTTCAACTGTTTTGATTGCCATAAAGACTTGTACGTTTCCGTCCCCAACTCGTAAAAAAAATCGAAATACTTATAAAATTTCCAAGTCAAATGTATCCGATCGCGACCGTGGGCAGTTCTACAAATTAGCAGCAGCAGGTAAACTCATATTTAAAATTATCTGGTCTGTTTTCAATTAAGATTTTAATACACAAAACGCAATTCAAATAGTCGCTGACCCGTCAGTGGCGTATTCATTAATTTAACTTTTTTACTTAATTAGTTCATGGTTTATATATATTTATTTTTTGCCGTTCATAAGTGTACATTTTGTTACCTATATGATTTTTGAATTTGAATTTTGTTTAGTAGATAATTAAACTGCTTTTGTTGACCGGTGTTTAGTCATTTTATTTATTTAACAGTTAATTGATAATCCACAGCTTATTTTCGGATTACACCAGGTCTACAAACAACATTCTGTACCAAGACAATTTACTATATTTATTGGTTGAGGTGAGTGTGTGGGAGGGTGTGTAAGTGTGTGAGAGTGCGTTGTCATGGCATAGCTTAATATCTGTGGAAACAATGCATGCCCCGCAGAACACTGTAATTGCGAGACCTTTGTTCATCCTGAAACGTAGCAATCAGACTTATGCGATTACGGCGAAATCGTTTTTCACGTTGAAAGAGAATTTTAAATCCGAATTGTTTTATACATAGATTGCTGTCATAATTTACGCAAGTCCTGTTAGAGGAAGACAATCATATTTCTGTCATACACAAAGTTTTTTGAGGTGTGTGGTTATTCTTGCTGAATTTAATATAACTGCTTTTTGATGGACATAAATGGATTACGGAAGGTCTTACAATTGATAGATTCGTGTAACTGTTTTGGGATTATTTTGGCGGTAGACATAATGAAAGGAACTATTGATACTTTGTTAAGGATTAAAAGGATGTGGAATCTTTTTAATTTCTTTTTTAAGATCTGCATATTTTGTGATTTTATGAGCTATTGTTTCTTGTAAGTTGTGGGTGTTGGGTATTATTTATTATAATTATATCTTCATATACGATAACTGGAGGAAAATAAGTAGTCACTGGCTAAATCATGGTTCGCACGACAGAAATAATAATAAAAATTTATTAGTGACAGAAATATGGTTTTGACAAAATTTATCTAACGCTAGTCCCAACACTAGGAAGCCCTTGTGTTGTGGGTAACTAAATAGAAATGATAGATAAAATAAAATTAAGTGCCATAAAAATCAAATTTGTAAACGCATACACAACATAAACTAAAGTGGAGATGGTTGGGACGAATGATGAGAGAGAAGCAAAAATGGAACAGAATCGTGATAGTGGTATCGACGAATTGGAAAACGAAACGAATAATTGCCATTTTCTTCGATTCGATCTGAAAGAAGTACAAGCTGTAGCTAAACAAAGTCAGTTTAGATGGTTTAAATATCATATACGACATATTTAGTAGTACTTTGGAGTAGATACTTGGGTTGTGGGGTTCAAGTGCACAGGCCTTAATTAAAGATTTAAGTTGGCGCCTTGTAGAGAGTAGCGGTGACCACAGAGCTGGTGCTTTCCTCGCTCAACGATTAAGTATCGCAATACAGCGTTAAAGGTACACTACCACAGGAACTAAACTTTATTCATTTGTTTCAATTTTCTTTTTATTAATTTTAATTATTACTATGTACCTAAGTTAAAAAAAATTCTAATACTGTATATTTGATTATTATGTTTAGTTGAATAAATAAAATATTATTAGCAGAAAGTCATAGTGAAACATACAACTAGGCTTGAACAAAATTTGTTATTAAGGCATAAGCCACAGGGTATTATTAGGGTGTTTGTAAAGAATATTCAGGCATGACAAAATTATACCATGACCTCGGATTATTGTGTTTATACGAAATTTGATTCAGGACATTAGTATGACAATTTACCGGATTAAAAACATTCAATTTTACGGTTATTGTCTTTGAATTTCTCCATATACACACGCAGCGCTGATTTTAGATATTTTTCATTATGATAATAGGCAATTATAACGTCATTTTTGTCTCCTATTTAGTTAGTTGATTGATGAAAATCTTCCACAGTTCGCAGTAGGTACAACGCAATTGCTGAACTTTTCAATTTGGATCGTATTAAGTTACTTTTTATACACAGGCGCGTTTCTCGCCTATTTCATAGAGAATAGACTACGGTTTTTTTATACACCTAATAAAAACCCATTAGTGCTACCTTAAATGGGTCTTGGCTTCAGATTGCATCCGTTTCTTCTATCATTTATATTATAGACAAGTAGGTGATCTACCTTCTGTGTCTTACACATGTTACCGATTTTTGGATTTGAGACATCAGTTTTTTTCGCGATGTTTGCCTTCAACGAAGGAAATTCTAATGTACATAGATAGAAAATTCTATTGCTGCCCAGATGAGGACCGAACCTATGACCTCAGAGATATTTTATGTAATAGGAGGCTGAGGTGCTATGCGAATCCGCCGCTCATGGACACTCACACGGCCAGAAGACTCGCAAGAGCGTTGCCGGCCATTTGCGAATTGGTACGCTCCTTTCTTGAAGGACCCTTAGTCGAATTGGTTCGGAAATACTTCAGTGGGCAGCTGGTTCGCTTGATGAGGGTCGCTAAACGAGCCTA